ATTATTATAGCAAGTTGATGAAACAAGAATATCAACAGTCTCGTTTAAAGTCATCATTTCGTAAATTCTATGGTCGATACAATGACCTTGTCAGCAAATACAATTTATCATTGAATGAAATGCTGACTGACGTTTTTCATACCAATTGTTAGTCCATTATTTATACACTGAATTGACCACGGATTTTTTCTGTTATTTCCTGATTATGACAACGAGCACACGGCGGGTGTGACCGGTCGGCAGGGGATGCTCACTCCTCCATAGCACCTGATCCCACCTCTGATGTTTCGGAGGTCTGTGTTTGCTCTGCTCTTATTTTGTATATTTGTTTAATGGACGTTGAGATTGAATACTGTTCGTTATTTCCATATCCTTCTTGAACAATGCTTAATAATCAGTGGATTAGCAGTGCATAATACCATGCGCCCCTTTTGATATTTCGGATTCGCTTTGTGACTTTTTTTCTACTCCTTCGGAGCCTTGGTACATGCGGGGTGTTTGAAAATGGCGGACATGACGCGGGTTGGGTGCTAATCGACCATTCGTACATTAGAAGGATGGACAAGTTTCTGAAAGACAATATGTTAAAAAAAAATCTTTTGACCTGAATTATAGATAGATTCTCATTGTGATCCACAGCCCCTGACTTTAGCCTTTTTCAAATCGAAGGTAACGAAATTTCCTTCGACCCCCCACAAAGATTGTAAGGTATTTTTCTTTTACGAACTTCCTGATTCATGGTACGAGTGTAAAACATGTAATTTATGCAATTTCTCCGACGGGATCCTCACTTACCACCGGGATGCAACAATGTTGTTATTGAGACTAATTAGCATAGAAACCCTGTGTCTGAATCCTTACCATATGTGTCATTTTGGAAACACCGGGGTTTTGGGACTAACCTACAGTACCTGAGGGAGTTCACCTACCTAGAAAATCCTGCAGTACCCATCCAGTACCTATGGTCAATGGTCAATCAAGGACGCGGTGGTCAACACTTGCAGGAGGCTAAGGCCAGTATAAATTAATTTGCAGTTTGATATACATGATATATGAGCATAAATCATGGAAATGAATAGATGCATATGTACATGTATAGCCCAAGAGTCAAATATCTAGTAAGATATTTAGAAAGATGTCTGTTCTAAACATCCAAGTAAAAAAATATATAGATAATCTTTCTTTAAGATATATATAACATCATGAAAACCTGCAGAACGTTACGTCAAATTTTTCCATGCTAATGTCTCAAAGTTATTGTTTGCAGTGTAAACGTACAGTATACATATGTCAAAATTTTCCATGTTAATTGCTGTATTAAAGTTATTGGTTTGCAGTGTGAACTAGCAGTATACATGATGTCAAAGTTTTCCATGTTATTGTCTCAAAGTTATTGGTTCGCAATGTAAACTAGCAGCATACATGATGTCAAAGTTTTCCATGTTGCTGTATCAAAGTTATTGGTTTGCAATGTGAACTAGCAGTATACATGATGTCAAAGTTTTCCATGTTACTGTCTCAAAGTTATTGGTTTGCAATGTTAACAAACAGTATACATGATGTCCAAGTTTTACAGCTGTATCAAAATTTGGTTCTCAGTGAGTACTGGGTAAGTCATGTGGCTGTTTCAAGGTATATTTCTTTTGTCTCGTGGCCTATTGTTTGTTGCCACCTTATTTTTCAGCTGAAATGTTTGATATATAATATTTGTGTTTATTGAGTATTGTCATGATGTTATTTTAAGTTTTGGGAGATCCATAACAAGGTGTAGATACAAATTGTAGAAAGTCATAGGATCTCCCAAATTTCATGTGTTTCATTTGTGTCATTAATAAATGACATATTTACAACAATACTCATTCTTGGTTTTCATTCAGTCTGAAAAATAACAAAGCTGCGGGAAACTTGGTTTTCAATTTGCACTATTATCATATGGAAGGCATCATAAATGTTTGTGTTATGTGTTTTGAACAATATTTATTGTCGATGCGACTTGCTCCAAAGAGAAATGAGAGTGTATTAGCATGAAATATCAATAATACTGGCACATTGAGATTGCATTATACAGACCTTAATTTTCTCCTCAGAATCATCATTGTTCTCTTGTATTAATAAAATCGGAGCTTTCTCTTGTTATCCAACATCTTGATAAAGTAAACAAGTTTGCTAAGACAGCAAAACAATAAAGTTTTAGTTACATGTATGTCATAAATATTTAAAGAGAGAAAAAAGACACAAACATCAGTTTATTAGCTTTTATTCAATGCCTATATTTCATGATTAAGATTTCAAATAAACTCAATTTCTCTCCACTGTACAACTTAATGCTGGAATGCAAACCTTTAGCTGAGATACATCAACATTTTTTTTTTAAATTTAAACAATTGTTTGGAATTTGATTCTAAATAGTTGTGCATAACCTGATATCTTTAAATTGACACACAATGTAAGATTGATACACATCACATTTTCAACCACTAATAATAAATTATAGATACAATAGATCAACAACATACATATACACTGTAGCGATACATTACATATTATGGCTAAACTCTGCTGTTGATTATGGTTTTTCTGTGAATCAAAATGGTCAATGAACACATAAAAGTACAGATCCATGGCATAAATTAATATTTAAATACAGTCAAGGTACCCTCAACTAATCCAATGTTTAGGTGACATAAAAAGATTATATGTGAGTTCTTTTTGAAAACAAACCGTATTGTACATTAATTGGTTTGGTTTCAAAATGAAAACTCACACTCACATTGTGGATTTCCATATAAGTTCCTCCGTTTAAAGAATGAAAATATTAAAACAAAGAATCATTTCTTTGCTGTTAAACCTCGCTTTCATTACTAATAACACGATTTGTCCCCTGTGCAACCCCTTTACAAAGCACTGGTCCATCTTTGTGCAGGTATAAGACTGGCCATACCATGAAGGCCACAGTGTTCCCACACTTTGTATAGGATTTCAGAACGTCTTTATCAAACTCTGAGATTCCGCCTCTAAAGTCCCACTGCATGTAGATCGGAGGATTCTGAATAACCATTAACCAACAATACTGAACACAACACTGTATGTATTCACTACAAGCAGTTAACTGAACAGAACTGAGGAAGTCTTTTGATAACTCCTTTAATTTTCTATATTTAAAAAATTGTTCAATGTAAAGCTCAACAAACTTTTAAAGCTCACATGGTTTTTCGCACAAATTAAGGTCACATTGTTGTAAAACAAATTACCATTTTGGAACTGCAGTACAATGGCATAACTCTTTGTTTTATTACATACATAATGTAAAGAATAAATGTCTTTTAAAATTATTATTTTAATTTCCCAAAGTGGATGTTTTAAAGGAAAATTTATAAATAAATGGTAGGATGTTTCGACTATACGATTCTACCATAGGTTTTTACAAAAATGTATAAAACGAGCTTTCCTTGATCCCCTATAGTTGAAATTTTTAAATTTCCTTCTTAAAGTTGAGAGTATTTTTAATAAAAATATTTGCGCATTTACCACACTCCTCTTGGTTTCGTCGAAATGTGGCACCGAAAAGGGATAATATAGCAAAAGGAAACCACAATTTAAGACAATTAAAAGTTAATTAAATTAAATGAAATTTGCACAAAATGTCTCCGAGTTATTTATCTTTCATATACTAGTGCATCAAAATTTATCTTTGTCCTTAAGGGATGAAATATAGGAGATAACTCTTCCTAACAGATTATTGAATTTTAGGCTAAATTTCTTTACAAATTCATCTTTAGCATATTAATTTCAAAACTTGAAAAAATTTAATGAGTGAATTATTGAGAAAAAAAAATTTAATGAATTGAAAGCTGAAATATTGTAGTTTTTGGCCATATGCTAAAAAAATATTTCAACTCTAATTAATGAGCTCTAATTAGCTAAGAAACAGGAAGTTAACTGATTTTTAAGGAATTAATTAGCAAAAAAGTGAAAATCTTAATTCTAAAACAAAGTCAGAGACTGGAAAAAATGGTTTCAAAAGAGACTTCAATAATGTACCTTGGAGCTTTGATAACAGTGATCACTGATTAATGGCTGGTGATTAAGATAAGGGGTTCTTAAGCAGTGGGGGGTGATGAGGCTTTTCCATCAGTCATCAAAGAATGGAGTTTCTCTTAGAAGACCAGGCAGCTCTAAAATAAATAAACAACACAAAAGTTTACAATACTTAAAAATGTGCACCACATACAATAGCATATTCTTAGAAAAAGTCTACAAGTATACAGTTAAATAATTACCATGCCAAAGAAAGGACCAAAATGGTTGCATCAACATCAATACAAAAAAGGAAGTATTCCTCACAACAAAGGCCAGAAGAAAATAGGGACCACCAGCCCAGTCCAATCTCTAGTTCCCATGAGAAGACTAAGTAAAAAAGAGTTTCAGGACATTGTACGGCCACAGAAAAATGGGGTGTTTACAGTTATCGATGCCAAGAGCCGAAGCAGCGAGATGAAGTTTTAACGACCCGGGCCAAGTGAGGTCCAGCCAGTGGACACCTACATGGAATCTGTGTCAGATGACCCAAATTCAAAATTATACAAGGTACTTCACCAAGAAAAGACTGCTAAATTGTGGAACAAGGCATTCAAAGAACACTTACAGAAGTTTCCTGACTGTGATGGTCCACTGGACTGGAATCAGCATGGAGAGGAAAAACGAGGCCTGGCATGGATCCTTTCAATTCGATGTAAGAAGTGCCACTATACCAGTCACCGAGAAAAACTTTACGAAGAGGTGAGAAGATCTGGAAGGGGACGAAGAGCTGCACAGATGAATGTGGCCATGGCTGTCGGTCACCTGGGTACCAGTCTTACAACAGAGGGTATGCGTGGTATGCTTCTTGGTGCAAATATTGAACCTGCGTCAGCCGCCAACATGCAACAGACCTGCAACAAAGTGGGGAAAATTATAACCGATGTAAATAAACAAAGTATGAAGAAAATTCAGCAGAATATTCAAGAACTTAATGAAAAATAAGGACTTCCGGATACCCCCATCAGAGCGGAAGGAGATGCTCGGTACAATAATGCCACCTTCAGTGCCATTGGGAAAACCCCATTCCAAGCTGCCACCCAAGTGACGTAAACCGTAAGTGAAAATGTAACTCAGAGGAAGAATGTGGTAGCAGTTTTCTGTGGGAATAAACTATGTAAGAAAGGCGCACACCTACGCAGCAAAGGAAAAGAGGTTACCTGCCCAGGACATGAAGACTGCACTGCAACCATTCCTCCGGAGACCACCATTGGAGACGAAAAGAGATGGGCCGCTAATTGTGTTGGTGAGTTACAGAGTGATGACCGGCCTCTAGTAATATCCCATTTTACCAGTGATGGAGACAGTGCCGCTGCATCTGGTGCATCTGAAAAACAAGGACATGTGATTGAAAACCTTAAGGACTTGCGTCACTTCTTTGACTCTCAAAGAAAACAGACTGCTAAGGCTCCATTCAGCAGTCACATGTTTCCACTAAGAACCAAGGCCATAAGAGAATCCATGCAGCGAAGATTTGCCTTGGACCTGAAGCTTCGATGCAGGACAGAGTACAAGAATTGCTACAAACACTACTCCGGCGACTTACCTTTGATGAAGCATGCTATGTCTACTGCGGTTGGTTCCCTCATAAACTGCTACCAGGGACAGTGCGGGAAGTCCTGTCAACTCTATTCCTTTTCCTGTCGTGAACTGAAAAGCAATAAGTGGAAATCTTCAGTGTTGCCTAGTGACTTTGAATTAAACATGACAGAAAAAGACAAATGTTTGTTAAAAGACTTTATAAATTTGACTTTAGGACAAAGTAATCTTGATAGAATCAAATATCATACTTGTACACAAAAATCTGAATCTGTAAATAGGGCATATTTAAAATCAAATCCAAAATGTATTACAAGTAGTAGAAATTTTGAAAGTAGAATACATAAAGTTGTACACTCACTGAATAGGGGTCATGGAAACTCAACACTGGAACTTTGTGAATCTGTAGGGGCACCTGTTGTAAAAGGAAGTAGAGTGGTCCATCATCTAAAACAACAACAAAATAGACAAAATTACTTTAAAATGAAACAAAAACTGTTAAAATATAAATTTCAAAGAAAATACTACAGATCTAAAAGATATCAGCTGTACGATAAAAAATCTAAAGACACTTACAGTAAATCATTAACAGATCCAAAATTAAAAAGGAAGTTGTAAGACTGTGAAGGGGGGGGGGGGCATTGATGATATGTACATGTACATGCATTTCAAATGTATAAAATTTGTATTTAAAGTATATTTTGTGAACTATCTTACATGTAATAATTGTTTTTATGGTTTATTATGCATTGATTATTTTCAACAGTGTAAATGGGGAAAATGTGGACATTTGAATAATGTATTATTTATTGTATGTGTAAAATGTGACATTTTGTTATACGAGAGAGTCTGTACATGTAAAAATGTTATATTCTTTATTATTTAGCTCATTAAAATTATTTGAATTAAAAATCTTGTTTTTCTTACCTGTGTGATGAACACAACAAAGGTTTCAGAGGTATTTGGTAGAAATATGGGTATACGGGTGTCAAAACTGTCCGTTGGTGACAAGACTGCATGCCGCATTGTTTATCCGCCATTATTGATCTTTTCAAGGGGAGACAACTCCTGAAATCAGAGACATTTTAGTGAAAATGAGAGTTACCTGTTTCTCTTTAGGTCTCACACAAGGAAATAATTTCCCTATATATTACTATAAAACTTGAATTAAATTATTTAATTTATTAGACTCTCAGAAGAAAATTCATGAAAGAGAAAATAAAGATTAATGCGTAAACAAATATTTGAGATCAGAAAAAATATGCCTTATGCGGCTTTTAAGAAAGAAAATCGACAGTAAACATACCTACCCCGAAATGCACGTGGGATTCACATGTTGACAAACAGCCTACACACCATCCAGGAAGTTGCATCATGCGCACCTGAAAAAAGAGTTCCTTTTAATTCAGTGGGATAATTCTGCTAAAGAAATGATATTCCTAGTACATGAGTCCAATTTTAATACTGTAGGCCTAAAACAAATTGCCAAAAATGAAAAAAGAAAAAAAAAATTCTCTATATATATGGAACTTCAATTGACTCTAAGTTCATTTTGATTGGCTATTTCCTTGCGTAAGACCTTTAAGGGTAGGATAATGAAGCATTGTTTATTTTTTAATAGTAAATACCTTCTATGAAAAGGAAAATTTTTCTGCATTTACGGTTTGAAACGTTTAATTTATGCAGAAGATGAATCATTCATGATTTTATATTTTAGAAGTTGATTCTTAAAAATCCTACCTTATTAACATAGAAAGCAGTCAAACAGATGAAAAATACTATTACCAACCCGAGTTAAAGAGTCAAAATGTACAGAAAATACAAATTACAGAAGCTGTACTGTACCCATGTCTACGTTTCTGCCAAAAACTATTGCTTTCAAAAGAACGGATAAGAAGACAATTACAATTGGCAAGAAGATACAAAAATTCAAATGAGAATAGTTGTTATTTTTCAGCCATGAATATATCAAAGTTCTACCAATTGATTTGTGTGAATTATGTTTTAGTAAATGAACTAAAACTCAAATTATGTAAACAAATCCTTTTAAAATGTATTTTGTTATCTTGATACACAATATTTTATCATAACAATGTGACCTTAATTTGTGCGAAAAACCATGTGAGCTTAAAAAGTTTGTTGAGCTGTATATGCATATCTAACACTTCTGTATTTCATCTACTGTATACATATCTAAAAATTATAAAGAGTGCTCAAACATTACGAATTTTATCTCATACGTGTTAATGAAACAGCCCATTAGATAAACTTATGCTTTATCCACGGGTAGATGCTTTATCAGTAGCACTTCCTGTTTTGAAACGATCCCTCGCTTCAAGATATTATTTCATTGAAACTTTTATTTGTGAAAATTATTGCCCTTATAAAATGAACGATAAAGAGCAATGATATCGTTAAAAGCAAGAAAAAGACTCGTATATGTCAAAAAAGTGTCTTATTTTATCGAGGAACCTATATCGGCTTCTTGAAGACAGATGCCCCCCCCCCCTTTATATCGTTTTCGTAGAAAGTAAAGCCTAGCAGTTAAGTTTTTGTTATAAGATTCCTTTAACATCTTCAATAATGCTTTTTTTATATTATACTACGTATGCCTACCTAGTAATGTAGGTGTAACTACCATGGATCAACGATTAATCTACAAGTAGTTTTATCGAACTCGTTGAAATGGTGTATATTCGCTTGGCAAGTCTCGCGAATATATATAAGTTAACTTATTATTTATATAAAATACAAAGTAATAACCTTCATGTGACATGTATTATTCACATCCAATAATTGTCATTTCATTGATTGCGTTATGTGAAAAGTTTTAATTATGCACTGTTACAACGCACTTTGAAAAATTACGCACTTTGAAAAATTTTTTCAAAGTGCGTTAAGTTTTGGGACCAGGTTAACGCACTTTGAAAAAAATTTTCAAAGTGCGTTGAATTTGGGACCAAATCAACGTACTTTGAAAATTTTTTTCAAAGTGCGTTAAAACTGTTCATCATAATTTTACATCATGTACACATTTAACGCACTTTGAAAAAATTTTCATGAAACAAAAGGAATTAGACTTATATTTTTGAAATAGACAACAGTATTATCCCCTCGCAACGTATGATGGGATATAGTGATGCGATTATGTGTGTTATTACTTTATGTGTATATTAGTTTTTTCTGTGTGGAATTTACGTAATTTGTATCGGGATCGATGTCAAATGATTTACTGAACATGCTTTTCTGGGAAGGAATGCTCCGCTTTGCGGTGCCCTTACTTTGATATGTTTCTTTCTAAAAACTGATGGATTGAAGAAAACCAAGAAACGGAAAACGAAGAAAAAGACTGGCTGAATTAAGGTCTATCAGCTCAACTCTTTATCACTCCCACCCAGATATATCTATTTCTATAACTCGTTACCTTAAGTGTCAATGATATTTGAAAAAAGAGCATTCTAAACACAGTTTAAGCACTGTACAAGAAAGTCTGTAGTAAATAGAAATTTTGTTCTTTTAAATCTCAAAGTCTATTTACGTTCATTTTCAGGAAAATCAGAATATTAATTACTAGCTGTAAATTCCTTATTTTTCGCGAGTGTTTTTTTTTTATCGCGAACTGGCTCTTAAACGTCAAATCGCTAGAATTATAATTCGCGAATGAATTCGTTAATGAACAGATTTTACATAGATTTAAGCATCAGAAAAATAAAAGCGAGTAATATTTTTTTCGCGAGTGATGCTTCTTGCGAAATTACGCAGAAATTAATTCCTCCCTTATATTAAGGAATGTACAGTACCTGTCTGCTTTTCGTTGTTAATTTGACACCATATCTGATAATCTCTCTGTTAAACTCCAGGTTTTTAAAAACACAAGTTTTGCCAAAATTATAGAGTTATTTCTCTTTGGTATCCCAAATAAGTAAGGTTTTATGAAAATTCATATAAATATCTATAAATCTTTTTAGAATCATTCCAATATGTTAACTTTTGAGAATTGACTAAGAGATGGGCGGAAGAACAAAACTATCGTTCGTAGTTCTTTACGACATTGAATGTTGACCTTTTGACCCCGAATTCAAAAGGGGTCTTCCTAAGGCCACAGGGATTCTGTTATGTTAAATTTCATTGCAAATGTTCAAAGGTTGGCGAGGTATCGTGTGGAAACGAAAGCGTTACAGAAAGACGGATGGACGGACAGCTAGACGGACGGACTGACAGATAGACCCAAATTAATATCTCCCACTTTTCAAGCGGGGGACAAAAAGTATCAAATAGGTTCAAATGATAATTTATCATACCTAAGATTTGTAGGAATATTGACTAAGCCATGCAGAATTTATTTTTTCAAAGTGCGTTAATATGGTCGATATTAACGCACTTTGAAAAAAAAATTATTTTTTCAAAGTGCGTTAACCTGGTCCCAAAATTTAACGCACTTTGAAAAAAATTTTCAAAGTGCGTAATTTTTTCAAAGTGCGTTGCCACAATGCACGTACCTAGTTCTGTGTAACCCAGCTTCGTGCACATACATAACTTTACCCAAACTACAGTTTGGAAATTTTTAGCCAATCAGCGTGGCTCATCATCTGTGTCATCATTTTGATTCATTGTATTGAAAGGAGAAGCCACGCAAAAATTTTAAAGAAAATTACCCTCCATCCAACCCCAGAACTACCTCCTCAGTTTTTAATTATTTTCACATGCCTGGCCTGTCTTTTTTAGATAACCCACTTTTTTGTGGACAGGCAGGTTGTGTTTTGTAGGGTTTTGAGAAGTTTATCCTCATGTAATTTTAGGTTATGTTTGTTGGGGGTCAAATTGCATAATACTTATTGAATATAACACTTTGTTTGTCAAATTTTCTAGTCCTTTCTTATCCCCGTTATTTGTATCAAGTTTCATGTTCGTCATTTTTTGAATAAATGACATTTTTTCAATTCAACGCTGTGTTACTGGTTCTGCCTGTCTGGTCAAAAAACAAGCCTCGTCAACTTAGCAAGATATTTATGCAACCAACAGAACATAAATACCATTTTAACTCGTTGGATAAAACCAATATCAAATTACACAATATAGATATCCTCTATTTATACGTTGGATTCATTACTTTTCAATTCAATATAGTAGTATTATATTTTAAAGGGACAAAACAACTGATACATCTAAATTGGAGCCCAATTTGTTTTGTGGTCTTCCTTCTTGTCTCAGGGACAATGTTTTGAACAAAGTCTTTGAATCTACATTATCTGATTATGCTTTCAGATTTTCACGACTATTACAGTATGACCTTGTTAATCTTGGGAAGAGACAAGTTTTGGGGGCTATATAGTTTTGTCTTGCCTGTCTGTCTCTTTATCTGTTTGTTTGCGAAACTTTAACATTTTCCATAACTTTTGGTTGGTTCGAACAATGGCTCTCAAATTTCACTTGTGCATTTCTTGGCATAAGATCATTCTTTGGGTACCAACATATTTGACCTCTTGATCTGACCTTCTTGAACAGTTGGTACTATGGCGTTCATACTTGTATTCATTCTATTAAGACCTTTCTATGGATTAAAATATGTTTTATCTTTTGACCTTGACCTTTGAGTTTGACAAACTTTTAAAATCTTTAACATTGTGCATATCTTTTGAACAATTAGCACTAGGGCTGTCATATTTCACAAGTGTATTTCATGTTACGAGGCCTTCCTTTGTATCAGGATCTAAGTGACCTCTAAAATTTAGGCACCAGCTGACTCCCATATACAGCTATCTAAGTTTCATTCTAAGTACTCACTACTCAGATTATTAATCAACATATACTTACAGTAACATTCTGTACATTAATAAAGTCTTTATTTTTTGTTTATTTTGAATTAATTTCATTAATACCAACTCAATTTTTATTCAATCACAAACAAAATTACTTCAATGTTTTCAACAATTGATACACAACTGTGTTAGTTCAATTGATACTTCGAAACCACATTACTCATAATAGCACTTTATGCGTAAAATGGGTCATGCTTCTATAAAAATACATATTTAAGAATAAAATCTATAAGAAATTATAATTAAATGATGATTAGAATTTTTAATATCAGACGGTTGTGCATTTTTTTAAACGTATATTCAAAATATGTAAAATGTGAATGCATCACAATTTCATTTCATAAAAATTATTTAAACTCTCAAATGAAAAAATCTTTATATTCAATACCTTAATTAAATTGATATACCGGTATATGTCCGACATAAATAAACAATTTTTAATCATGTATAATTAGAAACATGCATAGAAATCTGTTGTTCATATACCTACCTTCAATTTTCATTACATGACACACATTTGATATTTCTAAATCAGGTGACTCAAGTGATCAATATTGGGAAAAAAGCATCAGAATCATTTAACTAGAATGATTAAAGTTATGTACATAAAAATTCTTTTTTAGTAAATATTTTGGCATGTCGGAAAATAACATTAAATAGAACCGCCCTTTCACTATATCAAAAAGAACTTATTTTGTATTTTTCTGATTCTTCTTGAGAATAAGATTTTTGAGTGATTCAAACAGTTTTAACTGTTTTTCATTATCACCATCTGAAAGAAGATGTGGCTCTTCATTTGATGTTTTGTGTGAATATTATTTGAAACTTATCCATTGATGTTAGAAAAAGCAAAAGGGCCATCGGCCACATTGCTCACCTAAGCACTGGGGCTAGGAAAAAAGCAGAAAGCAGTTTTTTCTTGAAAAGTTTAAACAAACTTGAATCTACAATAGCTAAGGATGCTTGCATATTTCTTTGACTACCTGTGGCTTTATTGCCCTTTACATTTGAACTAACATTGTGGCCCCGC